TAAGAGAATTAAGATAATCCGTCATCGAGGAGTCACATTTCTGAATGGTTTGAATCTTGGAGCGTAAGCTGTGAATGTGCGTACGAGAAACACCAGAGAAGCGGCGTTCAAGAGATTGCCAGAGAGATCGGGAATCTTCCAAGCCAACCGTCAATGGAAGAAGATCTTCAGATATAGTGGAATTGATCCAAATCATCAAGATTTGATCTCGTTCACACCAAGTCTCATACGCTGCATTAAGAATTCAAGATCCAGAGGAATCAATCACAAATTGAGAAGGACACACATCAGCTCCAGTAACAAGACCTAAAAGCTTGAATCGTTTCAGAACAGGGATGAAGAGACTGCGCCAGGTGATATAGTTGTGACGATTGAGCTTCGTCTCCACTATACCAGTGATGTTCTGAACAGTAATCGAGGAGAGAGATTGAATTGACGAATTGGTGACATCGCCATGAGAGCCAGAAGCAGAGGTTGCAGAGTTCGACATTGGGAGCAGAAATCGAGAAAAATTGAGAGAGAAGAGAAAGAATTAGGGCTGATAAGATCTGTTTGGGAGACGAGAAAATGCAAGAAAATGGAAGTGAGGGATCGAAGTCGGTAGACTAAGGCGAAGATACCATGTAGAAACTCATAGCAGTTTGAGAAAATTATAGTGAGAGAAAATGTAGAGAGAGAAGTTGTTGTAGAAAATGATTCTATTCATTTATTACAAACTGTGAGTACATTCAGTATAAATAGCTCAGACTCTAACAACCATATCTTAACAACTAAGTAAAGTAAGTAAAGTTCTAATCAGGTACATCACATCCTATTATATCCTTAACATCTAGTTCACGTTGATAAATAGTTCAGTTTGTTTTGGTAAAAAAATGTGATTTTCTAGTTTACTTTGATAAATAGTTCAGTTTGCTTTAGAAAAAAAGTGTGGTTTAATTAGAAAAAGGTTGTGTCATTCACACACATCATTTTACTTTTCACATATTATTATTAACTTTTTTATTTGGAAACCTTATTATTATTTTTAACTTTGGTCATTTGATTTTCTCTATTCATTTAATCGGATGATTGACAATTAAAGAGAATGTATGAAAAGTAAAAATAGGCGTGAGAAAAATGTCCCTAATAGGCAAATACGTCTTTTTATACAAAGCAATCCGCGACTTTTCCCTTTCAGTGCCCAGCTCCCCACTTCCCGGTCCTCCTAGGGTTCTGCCCGAATTTTCTCACTTTCCCGGAAAAAATCGAGAGAAAATGGACGGAAAAATGGAAATCTCGCTCGACAAGCTTCCCATCAAGCGCTTGGAAGTCATTGAAGAAAACGGCCTTGAACGATTTCCTCCGTACGTCGTTATTATTTACCCTCTTTTTGTCTGATTTTATTTTCTCGGCAACCAAACAGGCATCAACTTTTTATTTTCTCAGAAACCCTAATTGTCTATTTCTTCGATTAAAGTGATGTAGGCTACGACGAGAAGCGGCAGAATTTGATTCGGAGAATCGATTTCGCTTGGGCTGTGGAGAAGGACGAGAACAAGAAGCAGAAGAAGAGCTCGAAAGAGAGCGCGGCGACGCAGTGGCAATGGCAGAGCATGGTGGAGAACTTGCAGCTGGCGCACCAGGAGCTCTCCGTTATCATAGATCTCATCAACACTGTAAGTATTTCGATTTTCATTCGTTTTCGGGGAGAGATTCATTTGAAGGAGCAATGCTTGCTGTGATTGAGTGATTCTAATGGAATGTGAATGTGTGCAGGTAGAAACAAACGATGCTGTAACAGTGGCTAGCATGACGCGTCCTAAGCCGCTTCCTAATGAAGCTATGTCTGATCTTGCTGTGTCTGCAGCAACCAAGCTTCAATGCTTCAGGGTAAATTTCGTAAATTTTTTAAATTCGGTAACTTTTTGTTTTGACTGTTCGTGGATATCTGTTTATGTGTTATTGATTACTATTTCAGCATCTAGGAAAGTATTTTAAGCAGTCTGCCAAAGCTTTGGACCGACAGGTTGCTCGAGAAGCGAGATTTTACGGTGCTCTAATCAGGTGAATCTGCAATGTTTAGTGATGCTCTGGCAGTGATGTTAGTTTGTTGGCCATTGATTCTTTCTTATCACCCAGCAAAGCTATTTGCTTTAATTGTGTATATTTGTGCATGACTTGTTTGTATCACCAATAAACAACTTCAATAAGCCCGTTGGTTTCTTCTTGCACAGAGGAATTTGGGTAACTTAGAATTTGTGATACTCTATTTGTGCATGAGTGAAAGGAACTTGGTACGATAGTATTCATATATTCGTGAACAATATTCTCTATCTCGTATATTGACAAGCGGATAGATTGCAGCAGAACTGGAAAGTTAAGCGGCAGCGTATGGCAGCTTCAGCTTCTGGAAATGAAGGCTTTACCATTGATCTGTTTGACAATTCATTATATGATCCAGCTGCTATATTTCGGCCAACTGCTCTGTCTACAGTTCGTGTTGAACATGACTCAGCTGGCATGCTGGCGATAAATCTACCTCCAAATTCATTTCGATCTCTTCAATTTGGGTTTCTTGGTGCTGATCCAGGTGATACTTCAATTGAATCCAGTAAAACCAAAGTCTATTCATCAAGGGAAGCTGAGAAAGAATCAGTAAGTGATGATGAGTGTGTTAAAGAAACGCATTCACTTCTTCGTGAAGTTCATCAAGCAATCTTCGATGAGCAGGTATATTTTTCACATTATTTTTTTCCTTATTTATCCCTCTTTCACACTTCTTTTTAATGGTTTTTAACTCCTGGTCTTATGGTCCAGGTGTTTAATTTGGTAAATCGTGAAGCTTTCAATCAAACTCTAGGAGTCAATGTAACTGGAATACAAGAAAACTATTTGCAACTGAACATTGGTGAAGGAACATCTGTGTTCATATCACTTATCCCGTCTAAAGATGAACAAACAGCTGACAGTCCAAGCACCCAAAACATAGAGAATGCAATTTTACCTTTGGACACATTGGATGGCCTGCAGTTCCCAGAGGATGATAAACCGGAAACCCCAAAGATAAAGTCAGTAATTCCTGATCAAATTAGTTGTGAAATATATCTGCAACAGATTTTTCACCAGCATGTATTTGTCAAAGCAAAGGATATACCAACTTCAACAGGTGCTCGAGTATCTGGTCAACCAGCCAAAGAAGGTTCTGGACTTCTTGGTCATTTCTGTTTGTCTTTGGCTCATCGGATCTTTTCAAACAAAGTTCTTAAGGAGCTGGAAAATGTGGTAAAGCTCAAATTCTTGTGAAGACATCAATGCTTGAATTTAAATGTGGTTGAACTTTTTCTCACTTGTGTTCATGATTCTGTAGGTTAAAGGGATACCATATCTGCAGCTGTTATCTCACCCCACTTGGCATTCGCGGACATCATCATGGATGCTCTCTGTGAAGATTCCTCAATCTATTCTACATGCATGCCAAACCCGAGCATCTGACATGCGTCACATGAGGAACGTTGCCAAGTCTCAGTTTCATACTAAGGTGGTTGTAACAGATGATTGCATCAATGTAGAAGGGGAAGGTGCTCCTAATGTGGTTGGCCTGTTCAACGAGAATTCTGAGGAAATTTGTTCAATGAACAGATACGATTGCGACTTGGCAGATCTTCCCGTGATAATTTTGCAGCAGGTATTTCTTTTATTTCTGAGGTGGTTTAACCGGTTTTAATTTATATAAAAAAAAAGGGGTAGTGTTGTGAAAAACAGATTATTGGCAAACACACCATTGGTGTCTTGTGATGCCTGTTTGCATATATATGGTTGCATGTGGTACGCTACAACTCATGTGTGCTTAACATGATTGTGGAATTTGGCAACAGGTTGCAGGTCAAGTTATTCGCTGGCTTCACGAAGAAGCTCTTACAGTTGGAATAAAGGCAAAACGAGACTTTCTTTGTTTGTCATTTGAGCTGGATCAGGGCGAAACACTCAGTTTGGTGGCACATGTGGACCCAGAAGACAGTGAAGGATGTATCTCATGGTGGTTGGTCATAGACGGCGGGTTTATAGAGGAACGAAAACTCAGTATAGACGCTTCCGATGCTGCATCAGAAACTAGGAAGTTTTTAGGTCATCTATCCCTGGAAGTGTTATATTCAACACTGATGGACTTGGTTAGCCTGTGCAACGGAGGCGGTAACTGACGATGAAGTAGCTTCTGGTTGTTTTTTTCTTTTTTCTATGTTATGTACAAATGTCGTTGTCATGTAATCGATATACAATCCCATAACCCATTGTGGCATGTCCTTTGTACCTTCAAATGGGGTACTTTTTGCCCCCATTAACTACTGTAATCATATGTAACCTTGTTTTTGTGTGGGAGAGCAATAGCTCTAGCGTCCCGCACTGGCCGGCTCGAGATTGGCACAACCCTCGGCCACTGACAACATCTGAATGCAACATTCTTCCTTTTGCAAGCATGCAAAACAACGTCAAATCAAAGCCAGCAATTTGCTTGCTTGCCTTCGAAGCAGGCAATCAACAAGAAAAGTAAAAGTCAATTGGGAAAGATGAACCTGGACGTTTCGCGCTTGGGTCAATCACCCCTCGCCAACTTTTAATAGGCGTGACTTTTAAACCATTCCATCTCAATCTTTCCGTTGTGCAGTCAAGTTTGAATTCAGCTTTCTCTATCACGTCGAAAAAATAATAAATCTGTGATAATTAAACCAATTGGTGACACAATTCTTTTCATGTTGCAGCTGAGTTTGAATTTTTGTACTTATATAATACAAAAAAAGTAATAAACTCAATGATAATTAGTTTGATATCATTGGGTTTGATTTGTCATGCGAGTGTTCTCATTTTTTTTTCATCTAAATTCGAATTCTCTTATTCCTATAACACAAACAAGTTATAAATCACGATATATTACCTAACCAAAAACATTAAAGAGGGAAATTTAAAAAATATAAAATCAAAATTGGAAGGTTCTTTTTCTTTCCCTACATTCTTTTTCTCAAACGTCCACGAAAGGAATAATAACCTTAATTACTTCTTCCCCAATCCTTGCAAACTTGCAATCCAATCCAAACACTTTCTTCTTCCGTTGATCCAATTCTGTCTTCCCTCTCCAAACACCTGCACCAGCACGCAGACCCAAAAGACCAAAATACCCCTCTAGAGTTCCGTTAGTTACAGAGTCGTTACACACAGCTCTCTCTCTCTCTCCCTCTCTCTCTCTCTCTCTCTCTGCTCTCCTCTACTAGGACTGCTGCGTGCTTCGGATTGGTGTCTGGAAATCGGAGAAACCGATGAAATTGGCGTCTGGGTTCCGACGGGAGGTTGAATTCGGGAACTGGGTTTGAAGACTTTGAAGCATTCGTTGGAGGAAGATTTTGGACTCCGGCGCCAGATGGGTTTTTTCTTCTGAAATTCTTGTTTTTTGTATTGGAATTCGAGATGGTTTTGCTGGAATTTGGATTTCTGATAAGGGTTCTTTGGATTATCAAGATTTATTGGTTCTTTGATGAGCATGTGGTGGACTTCTGTAATTTTAGGTGATATTGGTGATTGGATTACTAGATTATTGCATTCAATTTTCATAGGTTGTGATAGATACAGAAACACATTGCTGCTCTAAATTTGATTAGAGGTTTAGGAGCAGCAGAAAGAGTAGACAGTTTACTACATTCCTTGTAGAATTGAATTTTACCGGTGGGGGTTTAGTTAGTGATTGATTAGTGTGGTTTGGTCAGATTCTGCGGCTTGAGATTCTTATAGTTTGTGTAGTTCATATTGTTTGTATCGATGTCGGGTGGTACGCCAACTGGCGCCAGATACATGAGGCAGAGACATAGCCAGGGCTATGCATCTAGCGGCGATGATCTTGAGGATGATGCATGCTCGGTTATGCGCACTTCATCCCCACAAAGTCCGAAAGTTTGGTCACGGATTGAGATTTTTGAGAATGTCCTTTGGCTTGCCTCAGCAGCATTCATTGTGTACTATGGTGACAGGAAATCCAACTTGATATATCTCTTCTGCCATGATGAGAGAATTAGAAGGTATCGGTTTTGCTTGAATTGTTCTCAGTTTGCACCTCTAGTTATTATGTTTGTTCATTTGTTAGAAGGGTTGTGCCTCAGGCTTGTGATAAGTGATCTGTGTTACTGTTTTATTGCTAGTGTTATTGGACAAGTATACTGTATGACTTGGTTTTTTAGTCTTGCGTTGTTGGGAAACGATACAAAACGTACTTGTGGAAATTTGGTAGTTTCCCATTGAATTGCCTGATTGCGTTTGCAAGCTTCGACAGAGCTTAAACTTATGTTTGATGTATTGCTTGCTATTTTTTTGACACAGCCTATGCCTCTTCATTTCTGTTCACGCAATTGTAATATTAATTTGTTAAATGAGAATTTGGATTATGTGATTTTGATTTATGGTCAAGTGATTTGTGCGTATGTTTGCTTAAGATTTGGGTTATGTGTAAGACAAGCATAATCATGCTGTTTAGAAAATTCTTATGCTTTTAGCGACTGGAGAAGCAAGGTTTGCCTGCATATATTCAGTAGTTGCTCACGAATTATATGGTGTATTAACTTTTAGCTAATCGGGATACATATACATTTTAAAGCTTTCGTTCTTATCTATTTTATATAACCTGCAGATTGCCTTTATACCTTGGGATGGCGGGCATAGTTTTAAACATTATCATCTTCTTTTATACGAGTATGTCGGCATGGAGCGTGAGGAGATTTGACGAGAAATGGGAATTAGCAAGTATATCTGCTTTGCCGTTTGTGACACTACTTGGCGGCATCTCCTTTTGCTTGTAAGAGGAACCATACTGCAATTCCATTTACATTCATCAGGTGGTACGTTTACGATTACTGCTTCTGACTTGCTGCTCTTTATTTTTTGGCAGCTTCTGCTTCGCTTTGTGGCCAATATGGAGTTTCTTGACGCTTCCTCTTCTGGTAAATCCTGTTTTTTCATCTTGTCATACCTTGTAGATTTACGTATTAGTTTTGCTGTAGCAAACTGTCTAAGTACTGTTTGCATTACTGCAGTTCACGCTGTTTATGGCAGGCATGGTTATATGCCCATACATTATAATTGGGATATTTAGGCAACAGCATGACGTGCTGCGTACAGATTATGCCTCGGAGTTAGGTGAAAAACAATACTGATCTAGATCAAGAGCTTCTAACTCAAACCAGGGATGGTTAGTCGCGTCAGAAGAAGATTGAAGTTTTATCAGATGCTCTCCTTGCCATATTTTGCGAGATTGGCCGTTCTGTCATTGTCTTCCAAATCAGTCGGCTTCTACTTTTACCTGAACCTTATTCGGTCGATAAGACTGATGGTACATCCATAGAGTTCTGTATTAACGTGAAGTGGATTGGTTGGGATGTAGTTTTTGTGATCTGATACCGGTTAGCGATTAACCATATAAACACATTGAATCTTTCGAATAGAAATGATGCTCTTTGTTGCTGGTATGAGCCATCTTCGCTGGGGGAGGAGGTTGTGAAATCACCTCTTATGTCCTTTTTTATTTATCTTTCCTCATTGTAAATGAGCAATGTTTGCACCATAAATTCTGTAGCTTTGAGAGAAACTTCACTATTCGATTTTGTATACCCCTCTCGATCTCGTTTGCTTGCCTCGGCTAGAACTGGCATGGCAATTAATTTTCCCAAACTAATGAAAACTTTAGGTAGGAATGTCCGATCAAATCATTTATAAGACACCTCTTACAAAAATATAAAATCTCTTATATTTTGGTCCACCCGACCCAAGCTCTAGTTCTACTCCGTGTGAGAGTTGCTTTGGTCAAAAAGCCCTACCGAAGTTTCTTTCATGACCAGAATGCGTGGGAGTGTTGAGTTCGAAAGTGAATGTGAACCCCACAAAGAATGAAAGAAGTCAAGTCACTATGCCTTGTCCCCCATCAAAAAGGAAAAGTGGTCTGTCACTACTCTGATCATTCTCTACTTAGTGCTCAGAATAATTGGTTTGAGTTTGCATCGCATGGTGAATAAATGTCACACTCAAACTCCAACACAAAAGCTTGTACAATTATACCGTGCAAGGTAGTGAAACTCCCAATCTGATGGCCACGTTTATTGACTAGGATTGGATTAGTGCACTAGATTAGATCACATTGTATTAGAGAGGTTAACATTAGTCTAATGTGAAAGTGCTACACAAGAATGAGGAGTTGGATTCCCCTGAAAAATGTACTTGTGTTCAAAAGTCTAAGGGCTCGTTTGGATGTACTTTTAAAATGACTGAAAATGCTTTTAGAGAAAATGTTTTTTAATTCCAAAAGCACTTAAAGTGTTTTCTGCAAGAAGCACCAGTTATGTGCTTCTTCCAGGAAGCACTTTAAATGTTTTTGTAGAATTTACTTGTATTTTTACTAAGGATTGGTTCCAAAAATATTTTCACCAAAAGCGCTTTCTGCTATTTTAAAAGCACATCCAAACGATCTCTAAGTTCCATTTGTCTTGGGTTTGCATATCGGGAACTGAGAAGGATAGGAACGTTCTTTACCAATTAAAAGAGCTTCTGACCAAAAAAAAAAAAGGATTTGAGTTATTGAAGTGCTTCATAAAGATTTTTAATGGTGCATGTCACCACTTATTTACCACTTGACCAATTAGAATATAAATAAGAGGAAATAAATAAATAATCTCTCCTAATCATGGATTGAGAAAACCCGTCTTCTCAACTCAATTTGTCAGCACTACTTTTGGATTAGGGCATTAGATTACTTTGGAATGTGAAGTTTTCACTAAGCCCACAATAACTTTCCAAATATTACATTGGATTAGTGCATATGGATTGCTGCTCTTCAAAGATTACTTTTTTAATTCACGCGAGATTTTTTTTTTTTTTTTAATTTAATTACTTCTCAGAATTATTGTGTTTCGGTTTAAGAAGAATGATTTAAGTTGATAGTTTAATCTACCAAATAATTAATCAGAGGACTCATATGAAAAAGAAGCTGATAGTCCTCAAAATTAGGACTTAGGAGAGCAGTTCTGTTGAATGAGAATCCAAACTTTTGGAAAAAAGTAAGAATCCTAACTAAGCCAAACTCATAAATTGCTTGGCAGCAGAAAACAACGTAACATACAATTAGAAGCAGCCAAACAGGTCTACCGTCTAGGGTTCCGCCATTAATTACGTAACTAAAGATGTTTGAGAAGAAGAGAAAACGAAGTGTCGACATCAACCAACCCAAAATGGACGCAGACTTGGACATGCCGGCACCCGAGGAGATGAACGAGGACTTGAATCTTCCCCGGGGGTGAAGGGAAGGAGATCGGCATGCAGGGCCTGAAGAAGAAGAAGAAGCGCCTCAAGGTCGAGGACACCAAGAACGGCAACGAGGTTCAGGGTAACCGTCTTTAACTTACTCGTTTTTCTGAAATTTTGAAACTTTCATTTTTTGGAAAATTGGTTTTGTTTTTTTTGGGATTGGGGTTGATTGGCATGGCTATGGCTAGTTGTAGAAGGGTGTTGGCAGACACCACCTTTGGATATAATGGAGAATATCATACAGCGCCTCGACTTACTAGATCGGATTCGCGGCTTAAGCATCCTCTGCAAGTATTGGAGTTCGATTGCATTGCGAAGAGGCATCGGCAGTGTTCAACAATTTCCTTGGTTAATAGGCACTAAACCAGATTGGACCCGCATGTTTGGCAGTACTAAACCAAGTCCCAAGTACTTAGGGTTAGAGTTCACCATCCCGCCTGATGGTAACGTTATCAAGTTAGGGTTGTCAAAGCGGAATCAAGGGCGGTTTCATAGTTCCTGCAAAGGTTGGTTGATTATGGTCAATGAAGAAAACTTCAAAATATTTCAAAGATTTGGAGTTCGAAAAGCTGATCGCTTTCTTCTTAAAATTGCACCGTCCAGTTCAAATATCTCAGAATGTAGGGTGGCAGCAATTTTTTCTTCTATGGAAATTGGTGTGTGCAGGCTGGGGAAAAAAGGTTGGAGCATCTGTCCGATGTTGGATGATAGAAAAGAGTCCCCTTTATGCCTATTGTTTTCGTCATGTGGCATGCTATATGTTTTGATAAAAAAAAAACAAGGAGATTAAGAGTGGAAAGGTTGTAAGTCGAACGTTACGCTTTGGAGATGATCATGAGAAGTTGGAATTGAAGTTGGTTTGTGACAAAAAAGAAGAATCAAGGAAAAGTTATTCCACTGGCGGTGGTCGTCCTAATGGTTTTAGTCATGTCAAGGTGAAGGACAAGTCAAACTTGAACCAACAATGAAATCTTGTTGATCCATCAGTTTACGGATCACGAAAATAACGATTCTGGTACCCGGATATGATGACTCATGATTTTTTAGTTTACAAGGTCGATCTGGAGGATGGCGGGAGCTTTATCGAGGTACAGAGTTTGGGGAACCAAATATTATTCGTAACTAGTCAAGGTTGTTCTTTTTCCTTGTCCGTGAGTAATTTCACAGGGTTGGAAGCCAACTACATTTATTTTGCAGAGTTAGGAGTTAGTTCCTATATTGCTGTACGTAGTAAAACCAGCATGTGTGATTTTTCTCATCATTTCTACTTAGATGGTCAGAAATTTGGACAATCAAGAGAATACTACTATCATGCTTCACCTAAGCTCATGCGGGGACTGAGTTGGTTCATTCCAAATTTATGATAGCTTAGCTAGAGATTTTTTGTTTCTTTTGTTTCAGTACTAATTATTTTATTTTACCAGTGTTATGCTTTGCAATTCTTAAATTAAGTTATGTACTATTATCTTTAATTTGTAACCTTGTTTCTTGGCGGCACTAAACCAAGGCCCAACCTATTGTATGTAACGTTATCAAGTTAGGGTTGTCGAAGCAAAATCAAAGGCGGTTCATAGGTCCTGCAAAGGTTGGTTGGTTATGGTCAATGGAAAAAACCTCTCTAGTATTTTTACTAAACCCTATTTCCGGAGCCAAACACAAACATTCTTCCTTTCAAAATATCCCACCGTTCGAAAAATTTTGAGGTCGAAAAGCCGGTGGCTTTATAAAAGAATTGTACTTTTCAGTTCAAATATTGCAGAATGTACGGTGGCAGCGATTTTTCTTCTGTGAAAATCGATGGGTGCAGGCCGGGGAAAAAAGCTTGGAGCATCTCTTCGGTGTTGGATGATAAGAAAAAGTCTCCATTATGCATATTGTTTTCGTCATGTAGAATGCTATAAGCCTAAAAACAAGGAGATTACGAGTGGAAGGGTTATAACTCGAACGTTACGGTTTGGAGATGGTGAGGAGTTGGAATTGAAGTTGGTTCATGACGCACAAGAAGAATCAAGGAAAAATTATTCCCTTCCATTGGCCCTGATAGTTTTAATGGTTTTAGGCATTACGTGTGCTGTGTAAATGATTTCAAGTCATACAACCAACACTGAAATCTTGTTGATCCATCAGTTTATAGATCACATAAAGAGCGATTGAGGTCCCCAAACAAGGACTAATAGTTTTTTTTGTTTGTTTACAAGATCGATCCCGATGATGACAGAAGCTTTCTCAAGGTACATAGTTTGGGGAACCAAATATTAATTTTCCAGAGTTAGGACTTGGTTCCTATATTATGGACGCGGTAAAACCAACATTATATATGGTTAGGACTTAGATGGTGGGAAAGGAATTTCAAGAGAATACTACTCTCATATTCCACCTACGCTCATGTGGGGACTGATGTGGTCATATTTTCATATATTTCTATCATTTATTATTTTGAATTTTGTACATTTGAATGGATTAGATGCACTGAATTATATTGTTTTGATCTTTAGACATACGATAGTGGAGCTACATAAAAAATAAGAATATAAAACGAAGACTTGGGTGCCTATAATAATTTTTTACGTGCATATTTCGCGAGAAAGAGTTTGATCCCATGATGAACTACTGCTTATGCGGCAGCAGTGCAATGATTCCTCTATGGAACAATTTTTGGCAATACAAAAAGGCTTTAAGGGAATTAATTATTAGTCTATTATTTTATTTTACTTCTTAATTAAGGATTTATAGACCACATGAGGTGGCCGTTGATAGTTGAACTTTTTTTTAATAATTTAAAAAATGAGTCCAACCATCAATTGCCACATCATATAGCTTATAAAAATTATTTTAAGTTTTGATATCTCAAGCATTTATGAGATTAGTCCGTCACCAAAACAAAATATCATCATATTTCACAGGGGGTTCAAGGCAAAAGGCAAAAGGCAAAGGAGGAAGAGCTGGATTAGAGTTTTTTTTTTTTTTTTTGTTAGGGCTTCAATGTAGCATAATCATGAATACTTAATTTCTTTTTGGCATTGTTATTAACAAGTTTTTTTTTTAATCCATATTGAGTATCTTTTGCTATTTGTAATGCACTTGATTTTTATTTAGATGCTTGATCATCATTGACACACCCCGACCTGGAAAGGTCGAAGCATGTTGGCCATCACCGTGAGGTGACGTAACCATAAGGGTAAGTGATGGAAAAAGTGAGTAAATTTAAAGCTAATTAGAACTAATAATACTAAATAGTGAAAAAGTGCGCAATCGTGGGATGAACCCACTACAATTATTCAGAGCGTAATAGACAGTGAGACTACAGAAGAGT